AAAAAAAAAAAAAAAAAGAAAAAGAAATTAATCGGTACGTTGTTCTTTTGAGCATTTGTTAACATCACATGTAATTTACATAGTACTCGTTTAAAATTAAAATTATAAAAAGAGCACAAGCAATTTAAATTTTAAACAAGTGATTGCAAAAAGAAGAAACAAAATTTAAATTTATAATAAAATCTATGAATATTGCACAATTAAATATATATATTAATTCTATAAGTAAGTATATATATTTATATATTTATATCGTCTTTATATTGCACGAAAATTTTTTTTCTCTTACGAGATATTCACAGTACGAAAATAATAATTAAATATATAATTTATGTTGAAAAACATTTGCAGCACTATTTGTAAAATATAACATATATATTATAATTAATTAATCACGGTGTATTGTTATTTTTATTATTTAGTGCTACTTACTTGTATAATCAGCACTTACTTTGGCAATTGCCATTCATTAATTCATTAATTAATTAATTAATAAGATGCAAATAATTATTACTAGGTATAGTATAAAATTTAGTTATAAATCATTAAAATAATAATATAACAAATGGCAATGTCTAGTGCATTGAAAATAAGTATATAGTTCTACTCTATGTATGTACATGTAGATATTTAGTTGGATAATTTACTAAGATTGTACCTACAGATCATTATTAAATTATTGTTGCGCGACAGGATACTTAAATAAATTTACTGCACGTAACTTTATTTTTCATAGCTAAAATAACGTAGTACGCGGAAGACTTTTGTAATATTTGTTGTTACACAATTACATGATACAGTGAAATATATATATATATATATATATAAGTGAATATATTAATCACATTCAACAATATATATATTAAATAAATTTTCTTAGCGTTTAATTTATAACGATTATTCTTAAAAATTAAAATTCAATATTTGTCTAATAATATAAAAATCAAGAGTTTATTTAATAATAAAACCGCGTGTTCAAAGAGATGGATTACGTGACAGTTTGGCTTTATCTCTAGACTAGTCAAAATAAAAACAAAGTAGTTTAAATCGATTAAAATAATATTAAGAATGCCGGATACTATTTCTTTTTTAAAAAGTGTAATATGCAAAGCTAAGAGATGATCATTTTAAGTAGACTTTTTTTCGTTTAGAGTTCTTTGGAACAATTAGTAATATTTTTAATCATTGTTTTTCTTCACCTGATATTACTAATTGTAATAAATAAATAAATAAATAAATAAATAAATTAGTTATTAGCAGCCTGAAGTGGCAGCAATTGTTGACGTTGATCAACGTCACTTGATGAATCAATTAATCCAAATGTTGCAGTTGCGTGAAGTCCAACATCAGCTGTCACAAGAAAAATATAAATATTAATGATGACAATAATGATAATGCTAAGGATAGTAAATCTTACCGATACAACTGGCAGGTGCGTGTATACGATGATGCCACGGATCCATTGCAGGTGATAGAGATGCGTAGGGAAAACAAACCACTGTTTGAAAGGGAGGTGCTGCTAAAACTGGCATGTTGTGAGGCAGTATCGTTGCTTGCGGTGAAAATATTGCTCCTGGTGGAAATCCTGATTGCGGAGGTGGTGGAGGCAACATCATTTCATCTGTTGTATTAAAATACATATAAATTATTGATAAAATTATAAATTAAATTGTCATTTTATTGGTAAATGTTATTAAAATAAGATACCAAGTTTTGCATTGAAATAAAAATATTGTAAAAATATAAAATTATCAGATTTGCATTATGACAATATAAAGATTTGGAAAAAAAAAAAAAAAAAAAAAAAAAAAAA